TTTTCTGTATGCGACAAAGTCGTTTCATGTTCAACTAATCGAGTAGTGGTAGCAAGTTTCTCTTCACTCGAAAGAGTCGTTACTTTTGGAATATGTGTACTTGTTTCAAATTGTTCCGTGGTACTGTCGACATATTTAGTGGTTGTTTTGCCTTCAGTTGGCATGAATGAGCTTTGCTTTGTGGCAAATGCTCTTTCAGTAGGCGAAAAAGTCGTTTCACGACCAACGAATTGAGAAGTGGATGGAATAGCCTGACCAAATTCTGTCGTTACTTTATGTGTAACAGAGCTAGTTTCAAATTGAGTGGTTGTTTTGGCATATTCAGTCGTTGTTCCACTCTCAGTAGGACTGAATGAGCTTCGTTCAGTACCAAAAGATTTTTCTGTTGGTAGTAAAGTCGTTTCATGATCGACAAATTGAGTGGTCGAAGGAATCGTATCCTCCCTTTGAAGAGTGCTAGTTTTCATTTGCTCAGTGGTTCTATCGAAATATTTGGTTGTTCTACCACCTTCGATTGCATCAAATGAAGTAATTTCAGTAACAAATGCCTTTTCGGTCGGCATTAAAGTGGTTCCACGGTCTATGAATGGCGTGGTCGAAGGAACTTTCCCATCGCCAACAAGTGTAGTTACTTTAGGAGAGAAACTACTCGTCGAGAACTGTTCAGTGGTTGTATCAAAGTATTTTGTTGTTTGCTCGGGTATTGTCGAAGTATCGCCCGGCTTTTGTGTATAATCTGGATTTATTTGAGTTGTAGTGTAATACATTGGTTTTTCAGTTTTGGTTGTAAAATTTTTCTGAGCAAATTCCATTTCAGTGAGTTCTTTTCGATCGTATCTAGTCGATTTTGTGTCATTCGAAACGGTTGTTTCTTCAGTCACATAAGATTCGGTGGTTTCAGTCTTTGGAGCGTCCGTATGTGCAAAAATACCAGTCATTGAAGTGCGACCCTCAACATCTGGATATTTTGTAACTTTTTCATTAAACGAATTAATCGTTGTCGTCGTTAAATCATCTTGTATCGTACTACCAGTTCGAATATAAACGAATGGTATTTCTGTGGTTTTAAAACTTCGATCATCTAATTCGATGGGTTTTGATACATGCTCGGGTATAATGGGATAACATTTTTCGAAAGCGTCACCAGTGTAATTGGCCGGACATTGGCATATAATTAGATGCATTTGAATGATGCATTGGGCACTTTCACCACACACTTTTCCTGATTGACACGCGTCTACACATTGGTTCTTGACACATTGCAAATTCTCTTTGCAATCCTGATGCTTTGTACAATTGTCGATCTGCGCATTACCGACGTCTGCTGCTATATTCACATTATTTTATACGTTAATTAAATTATTATATGGTTTTCTTTTTGTTTCGTGTATAATATTTACAAATTTGTATATACAGACAAAAAAAATATGGAAAAAAATTAATAAATCGCTAATTGTTTTTAAAAACAGAGAGAAGAGAGTTTGTATAGTGCAAAAGATTGAGTGAGAAGAAACTGTTGTGTTTTTTTTCGTTTGGTAAAAGTGAGGGCATTTACATGTGTTTAGGTGGGTTTTTTAAAAGGAAAAAGAGAGATCACGCTATATCCTTTTCTGTACAAAAATACATTCATCGCGATACTAAAATTTAATGAAGCGAGCATTTTTCGTGCGGAGAGCAAAAAAATTAGGATTTGCCTCTAAAACAATGTGCGAAAAAATAGCGTTCTGACCCTAAAATAAATCATATCAAAGGCATAATCAATATACATTTCGGTGACAAAACAAATCAGAAGAGCATTATAATAGAGAGTTTTTTTTAGATCAAAACAAATTGATTAATATTGTTGTTGTTTTTTGTTGAAATAAAAGTTGATTAAACGGAATGTTAGAAATTGTTGGTTAGAACATGCCGTAGCTGAGATTAGATTGGAATAAGTTTGTTTTGAATAAGTAAGGTGAGTAAATTAGGCGTAAATAAAAAAAAATATTTGGTGAGCTCGAGCGTGTGTGAATGTTTTCAGTTTTGGTTTTTTTTTTAAATATAATTTTGTTTTGTATTTTTGTTGGAGAGGATTTCGATTTGTTACTATAAGAGGTCATCGTGAGATATGTATGTGTGATATTGTTTTGTTGTTTTGTCGATGATTTAACGTGTTTAGTGTTTGATTTTTGTTCGTTGGTATTTTGAGTACCAGAAAAAAAGATTCAGTCAGAACAGGACTTGTAATTGGCCGTCGATTTATGTTCGGTTTTAGGCAGTGTTTTATGAGGCATTTTTGGCCACCTTAACGTGTTATATTCCTGTTGGATGGCGTTGACGAGGAAGAGATAGAGGAACTAAAATGCTAAAATCATCGTCGTTTAATTTCGAAAGTGTGGTAAGACGAGAGAGACAGACAGACAAAGAAAGAGAACAAAAGAGAGAAGGGGAGACAGAGAGATTACAGATTGCTTCAAAAATAACCGAAGTATTTGTTGTGTGTGTGAGAGAGAAAAGACAGAGACAGATAGTGATATACGGAAGACTTTGTGTGTCAAAATAAAATAAAGAAATTGGGAAAATTCGAAGAATGAGAGAGAAAAGTTCATTATTATAGCCAAATAATGAGTAAACCGTTCGAGTTCAAGTGCCTAGATGCATCTAAGCATTGGACCTTTGAAGTTGAGTATCGTTTGTCTTTTTTTTTTTTTGATTATTTGTTTTGAAGGGGGTGATTTTTGGTTTGAGTTTTTTTTTTGGTTTTGGTTTTTTTGTTGCGTAAAGTGTTTTTTACCTTTTTGGCATCCTGTTTTTGAGTCAGCCACAAATCCTGGTGGACAGAATTTGCAAATGGGTTTATGATCTTCCACAAAGCAAGGTGAGTTAGCAGCGCATGAGGCGTGATCGCATGGATTAACACATTGATAGTTTCGGCAAGCCAAACCGGCCGGACAACCGCTGTCTCTTAAGCATATCGATACGGATGGGCTACAATCTTTCATGCAAATGCAAACGGGTTTATGATCCTGCACCTGACACGATTTTTCGGCTGGACATGGTGCACCGCGTGAATTGTGTACAACACACGGGCTTTGACATTTCAAATCAATGCATGCCATATTCGAGGCACATTCATCGTCTCGGGAACACTCACGTTTATCTGGTGCACATATCAATTCTCCATATTCATTTACAACGAAACCCGATTTGCACACGCATACCGGTCGATGGCGTCGTGCTTCACACTTTTTATTCGGTTCACATGCGAATGTCGAACTTTCACACGGATCAACGCATTGTCCAAGTCGATTACATGACAATGATTCATGACAGTCAGCGTCTGTATTGCACAACGTTCCAATGTCATTCGGTCGGGGTGAAGTATATTGGCATTGTGGATCCGGTTTGCATTCGACGTTCGCTCGCCCGATGTAGCAGCTCGGACACGAGCACCGTGGACGATGTAACACCGTTTTGCACAGTGCATTTATTCCGCATGCTTCCCGCAACGCACATGGATCCGCGCATACATTATTCAAACATGCTTTTTCATTGGGGCAATCTAAATCACTGGTACATTCATTGTCTAAAAGTCCAGAAGCGTTGATTTGTTTTGTTTTATTTATTTGGTTTTTGTTCAATGCCAGGGAACGTATATTTTTTTAAAAAATTATATTGTTTTTTGTTTTGAGTAAAAGCGATCAAGGCGGAAATTGGAATCGGATTTTGAATGAATGTTGCCGAAAAAATATGGATTTGATATCCATCCAATCAAATGGAAAAAAAAAAATAAACAAAAATTTGGTGAAAAAAAATGAGCAGCGAAAAAATAAAATAAAAACAAGATATGGGAAACCTTAACATCCTAAGCTTGATCGTTTTTGTTTTCATTTTGATAAAATCACGACATCCTCAAAATGCTTGTACATGCCTGTCTGAATTTTGTTTGAATTACTTTGAACACAATCAAATAAAAAAAAAGTGATTTGAGAACTGCGAAAGGGATTCATTTCTCACAAATTCGTTACACGAACACATCCAACACAAACGCTCTGCCCGGGAATCTACGTATGAAAAGTTCGCCGAAACTCAAAGAGTAAAGAAGACAGAAGAATGAAGTGAATGACAGCAAGAGAGTGACAGAGAGTGGAGAAGATATGAGAGGCGAAGACAGAGAGAGAATACAGAGATTTCAGAAATAGATGGTAAGCTTAAAATCTAGACGAGAAAAATCGAGCTTTTCACGTATTCCTACAAAAAGGTTCTGACAGACTCTATCAGCAACAACTCGTGAATGGCGCTGCTTCGGCTACGGTTTTCTATGATTTTTTTTTCTTCATTTTATTTAAGGTCTTTTTGCATCGAGCAAATAACATGTTAGATTTTTTTTGTGGGGGGGGGGAATGGAAAAAAGGGAAGAAGGTATACAAAAAACGTATTTACAACTTAAAAGTTACCGAAAATAAAACAAACTAAATAAATAGAAAAAAGAACTGAATCTATAGAATGAAACAAATGGCAAGCAATTATTTTCAAATGGTTAAAAATTCCAAGATGCTTTTTGAAAAGAAATTTTTTTCTGATTTTTTTTTTTTATATACGCAAAGGAAATCAAATTCAGAGCAGAAAAAATGCGTTAGGCAAAAAAATGCAAACACACTTAAAAAATATTGGAAAAAAACAAACAAACCAAAAAAATGCTTAAGAAAAAAATAAATAAATGCCACGAAGTTGAATCCAAAAATAAAACAAAGGAGGCAAAAAAAACTTAGGCAAACAAACAAATCCCCGAGCCATTAAAATGTGCAAGCGACTGTGAGAATTATCCCATCCACAGTGCCCAATTCTAACGATTTATTTGAACTTATGTTTAGAAAAAAAACCGTTTTTCGTTTTTAAATATTAATTCACTGGCAAACACAAATCAGTTATGTACAATTTTTGAGTTGATGTTTTGAATTGACTAGATATAAAACAAACAATGGAAGGAAAAAAAATATCCAAAGTAGAAGAGAGTTAAAACCAGGCAACGAGAAAGGAAAATAATGTAGCTGTGTTGAGGCAAAGGAATCTGCTTAGCACCTAAACGGATCTCTTTTCATTTATTCGATCGTTTTTTCGCATCAAACATGATTCTTCTCAGATTTTCATTTTCGATAAGAAGCCGATGTACACACAAACTGTTTTGTTTTGGTAGCGAGAGAAAGAGAGATGAAATATGAAGTAATTAGAAATAAAAATGGTGTATGTATAACAAGAGTATTGTCGGTTCGTGTGTATTTTACAAGCAAATGATGAAATGGTGAACTTCGAGAGAAACGCTTTGCAATTGCGAGAGGGGAGCGTGAATAAAATGCTTGTCATTTGCTGTTTCTTGGTGTTGTTGTGTAAATATGTATGTGTATAGGAACAATTTGTTGTGATATGATACAAAAATGTAGCGGACGTATTTCTTCTCTCTCTTTCGGTTCTCATCCACAAAAAAAAATTGGATGCATAAAATTTTACATAAAAAAACTTAAATTGGTGTTAAAAACACACAAAACGTACAAAAACATTTATGTACACTAATTTGTAAAAAAATGGCCTAAAATATTTTACATTAAAAAAACAAACAAATAAAATTGACTAGCAATAAGAAAAAAAATTCTTCTTCGGAACAACTGACATTTTTTTTCGTGCTGTACAGGAGACAAATAATTACACAAAAACAATGGGTTTTTCTTCGAACTAAAAAAACAGATCATTTTTCTTACAACGACAAACACAAAAATGACGTAAAACACGTTTTTCTCTTCTCTTTTTTCTACCAAATCCTAGTTTACGTCCTTGCTATTCGTATTTCAAAACGAACAAAACAACAATCGACAATTATTTCGATTATTATCAGTTAGCAAATTGGTTAATCTAACTAAAACGATCAACAACTAGAAAAACAATTAATTTCGATTTAAAAAAATGTGTTTTGAACAATGTTTGTTGGTCGAATGTTGAATAAAATGGGGTGTAAATATGTAACCAGCTTTCGCTAGCCTTCAACCCCAACAGCTTTCGGTCAGTCGTTTTTTTTAATGACTAAGTTAGACAAATTCGGTTTAATTTTTTTTTTTAACAAAACGTGGGAATCGATGGACATGAAAATTCATTTGTCTACGACTCTAAATGTATGTGTGTGTTTATGAAACACGCATTAGTTTTTCTGTTTTGACGACGCAACAAGTTATTTGGAACTGTTTGTGAATTGGTTTTAAATTAGCATTGTTGTACATCTCGGTCGCAAGGGGGAGGGAAAAGGATCATTTAGTGGTTTCGTTTGAATCGCATTAACCAGGTTTTATTCGTCGCATAGCCAATGCGTTCCAAACAAATTCAAAGTAGCAAGATAGAAACATTGAAAGCACATACCTTGTCTGCATACATATTGTGAACCTTCACGAACACATTCACCGTTCAAGCAACCGTTGTGAAGACAATCGCTTACTTCTCGCAATGGTGTGCCTGGAATTGATTTAGAATTAGTTGGATGCATGGTTTTTCAATTCAAATAAAAAATCAGTCATAAAATTGAATCCAAATCGAAAAAAGAACTTTTACATTCATTATATGGGTCTCCGCTTGGATAAAGTGGTGGACAATAGCATTCCGCTGCGTTTTGGTTGATAACACGGCAAGCTGCATTTCGTCCGCAAGTGTGACCGGCACAATCATTCTTCCATTCACCGCCACATAAGCAGCCCTTGTGCGGATCACCATCGCATTCTGGTGCGCAAGAGCATTCATAGCCGCCATTTACATCGCGGCATCTTGTATTCGCGCCGCATGGGTTTCTTGCACATGCATTCGTTTCGAATGAGCATTCAATAGCTGGCTGGCCAAAGTGTCCCGGTGGACATGAGCATTGTTTTTGTCGGTTAACGACGCGGCATTGTGCATTCACACCACAAGCGCCGGCCTGCAAACATGGATTTTTGCATGAGCCAGCCTCACATCGTTTATCAATTTCACAATCGCTGTCAACGGAACATTCTGATCGTGTGCATCCTTGTGTTGGTTCACCTCTGAATCCATCTGGGCACAAGCAAACCACACGATGTTCTGAAACTCGACAAATGGCATTCTCTCCGCAAGTATCGTCCAATGAACATGGATCCAAGCACTGGCCATTTATACACGATCTATCGCCTGAGCAATCTAAATTATTTCGGCAGCCAGCAATGCAAGCTCCATCCTGACACAATTGTCCTTCCATACAGTTGCCTGGATTACATCTGCTGCGGCATTTTCCGGTCGCACAAATTTGACCGCACGAGCATTGCGAGTCAGTTGAACAGCTCTCAGCGCAGTATTGTCCCGATTCATCGCATTGGCAGAATGAATTGCATCGTTGCAATGGCAAATTACATCCGGTGAATGGATTCCCGAGGAAACCATTCGGGCAACTGCATTGCACAACATGATTGATGACCAAACACTCGGCACACTGTCCGCATTGTGTTGTTGTTTTGCATGGATCTTGACACTTGTTGTTGATGCAAGCTTCCGATCCCGAGCAGCTCAAATCATTTCGGCAACCAATTTGACACAATCGATTCTCGCAAATTTGACCATTTCCACATGAGGCGTCGCTGTTGCAAATCGATCGACACGTTCCGCGCACGCATCGTTCGTCGGCCAAACAATTTTGATCGTTGTTACAGTTTGCTTGGCAAACATTTCCGAAGCATGAATGATTTGGTGGGCATTCGTTGTGATTTGAACATGATGTCGGAGCATATTTGCAACCGATTACTGGATTTCCGACCAAGTAATCTGGGCAAATGCATGATTTCACGTGATTTTGAACGATACAGTTGGCATTTGATCCACAAGCCGTTGGTTCGAGGCATGGATCAATGCATTTTTGACCGACACAAGCTAAATTGCCTTGGCAGTGAGCATCTGATCGACATCCAGCCGAGCAAATAAAGTCTTGACACACTTCTCCATGACGACAGTCATCATCTCGTCGGCACAGTGGTTTGCATACGCCACTCTCACAACGTTCATTGCTGTAACATTCACGATCGCTGGAGCAACGAGCTTTACACTCGCCTTGAATACACAATAGACCATCTTGGCAATTTCGACTTGAGCTACATGGTGTGGCAGGCGAACGAACACATCCAATCTTGGCCGTTGGACTTGGTACTAGACCATTCAAACAAGCGCATTGTGCACGATGATTGAATACGGTGCATCCAGCATTCGGCCCACATGGTGATAAATTACATGGATTGGTGCATGTGTTATTCAAACAGCTTTCAGTTGAAGTACAATCTTCGTCCGAACGACAAGCGTAGATACAACGGTTATTCAAGCAAATATGACCCAAGAAACAATCATTATCCACACGACATGTCACTGGAATTTGAAATGAAGCATTTATTTTATTAAATTTATAATTTAAATTAAAAGAGCTTCAAATAATCAAGATGAAAACTTTGGACAATTAGAAAAAAAAAATCCTGAATAAATTTTCTTCCTAGATAAAATGAAAATTCGGTTCAAAATACAAACGAAAATTTCGTTTTTGCTACTTACGCATACAATTGCTTCCGATACATTTTTCGTTCAAAGCGCACACTTGATCTGATTCGCAACGTGGCAAGCACATTGAATCTCGGCAAGTGTTACCACCAATACAGTCCAAATTCGAGGTGCAGGAGACCGGAACTGTAGAAAAACACAAATATTAGTATCAAATTAAAAAAGATCGAAATTCGACATTCGACAATTCTACTCACTTCGCACGCACTCAACGGCGCTGTTTCCGGTAAAACCTGCTGGACAGACACATGATTTGTAGTGATTATTTGTTCGACAATCGGCATTCATTCCGCAAGCCTTTGGCAGTGAACAAGGATTGACGCATTGACTTTCCAAGCAAATTTCATCCAATCCGCACTCTTGGTCCAAGGCGCAAGCCGGTTTGCAGACTCCTCCGTTACAATAAGCGTTGGCTGGGCAATCCGTTGACGAGCTACATGGGACTGGCAATGGTCTGCATCCAACAATTGTATCGCTAGCCTCGCCTCCATAACCTGGTAAGCATTTACAGAAAGCAACATGATCGACCGGTAAACATTCCGAGTTCGGGCCGCAGCTAACATTTTCACAAACATCTCTGCATTTCGATTCGCTGTTCGATTGAATACACTCGGCACTTGCTGGGCAGTCGGCATTGCTTGTACATTCGAAAGCTAAGCGACAGCCCTCGTTGTATGGATCTCCAACGTATCCATTACCGCAAGCACAATGGAATGTTCCTTTGTTGTTTGAGCACTGTGCTCCCGGTCCGCATGGTGCATCACGACAATAATCAACGGCGTTACATTGTTCATATGGATTGCCACTGTAGCCCGGTTGACAATAGCAAACTGGTCGATGATCTTCAACGGTGCAAATTGCCTTTTCACCGCACGTTCTTCCACTCTGGCACGCCAATTTGCAGATATTCTTCTCACAGAATTGCTCTGATGAACAGTCAACATCCTTTTCACATTCGATTCGTCGGCATCCGCCTTGGCCATCGTCAACAAAGCCTGGTTTGCATGAGCACAAAGCGTCATGATTACGTGCGGTACATTCAGCATTTCGACCGCAAAGTACACGGCCTTCGCAAGCGTTCTTACATTCGGATCGACCGTACGAATCCACATAACAATATTCATGAGGCAAACATTCGTCATCGTGACGGCATCGAACTTCTTGTGTACAAATGTTGTTCTGACAGAATTGGAAGTCGGCACATGTGGTATTATCATGGCAAGTCGATTGACAAATGCCTTGCAAACATAGTTGATCGGTGATACATTCACGGTTCGATGTACAAATGGCTGAACAAACTCCGGCCGTGCAAATCGTTCCCGATGGACATTGATTGTCGGCGGAGCAATATTGGATTGGAACACAACCCAAAAGCGGATTACCCGTCGTTCCTGGTTGACATGAGCAAATTCCAACGTGATTTTCAACAGCACAATTCGAATGTTGACCACAAGCATTTGGAATCGAGCATGGATTAACGCATTTCGAATCCAAACATGATTTTGAATGTGGACAATCGGTGTTTTCACTACATTCAATCAATCGGCATTCAACGCTTGGATCGCCACGTGAGTTTGATGGGCATTTACAGAACGCATGATGTGCATTGACTGTGCATTGAGCATTTGAGCCACAAGCATTCGGTAAATCACATGGGTTTTTGCATCTTGAATTGATGCACGCGGCAGTGTCTGGACAGTCGGTATTGGTTAAACATTCTTCTGGATTTCGGCAACCAGTGTTAATTGGATCGCCAACTAAACCATCTGGACAAGTGCAAACAAAGCTACCCGGATAATTTTTGCACACTGCCGAACTGTGGCATGGTCGTTCAACACATTCGTCGATGTCTTCACATTTGCCGTTAAGTAGTACGTAGCCAGGAGGACATGAACAAGTTGCCTCATGACGGTCGACAACACACGTTCCTCGACCACAGTCAACATTATCGCATGGATCTGTTGAAAAAAAAGATGTTGAATGAATTTGTTGAAATGATTTCAATTTATTGGAAATAAATCAAGTTAAAGGTGAAAATAGTATTTTTGGAAGTGCATTTGAACACCATAAATAAATGGAAAAAAAGTATTTTTCTAATAAACTTAAGTCTATCGCTATTCGTTGTACACAGTTTTTTTTCTGGAGACATTGTATAGAAGAAGAAAATGCAAACTGGAACACATACTTTCGATAAATAGTGATTGCTGTGATAAAAATCCAAAAAGTTGTTTGTTATTTTGTATTGCTAACGCAAAAAATGAACGCAAACCTTTCGATCGTTCGAATTCTGGGACCTAAACAAGTGACTCATTTGCATTACAGATGCGATCTTATTGAAGAAAAAGTAGAAAACAAAATTATGTGTCATGCTTGTCACAATTTGAACACATTTTCTGAAATAGATTTCATTGCAACCTCATTCAAACTGATAAAAAGTGATGACAAATCTATATGTATACGAGTAAATAAAGCGACTTTTAGCAATATCAGTTTTTATATTTTCATGGGCGAATGCTGATGACTCATAATCCGGCTAGTATATAGAAATGGGAATCCAAAGTGAGTTGTGCGACAGTTGCCCTACGATGAAGTTCATAACATTGGCAAGTTCTCTATTATTGATTATTGGCATGGTGAGCCACACAGTCAAAAATAAATGTCCACATTTAGGCGGAATTTCGATTGGTAGAGGCACCCAGTCCTATATTTTGCCTAGCAAACGGAAATTCAGACGAAATATCGACTAGATTATAAGCGGAATTTCGCCTGTAGCTCAAGGTACTAGCAGAAATATCGGCTGAATGAGTCTTTAGCTGAAAAAACGCCCAGATGTAGACTTTTTTTTTTGCTGTGCATATTTCTGTTGCAGCTCCTACTGAACCATTTGATTGCAGTAAATTACCATCGAATAACATTAGATATGATAGCAAGTGGACTTGGGGGGTCTATCCCCATATACTGAATGAATTCATCTGCTAGCAACTGAGCGAAAAAAATTGAAAAATATTTGTATGAGTCGAAGCAATTTTGTACTCCTTGAATTTGTTTTTCTTTCTACAACCAAAGAAAAAACCATAAAGAAAACAAAAAATGTATGGACAGTGATAATAATAAATTCGATTCAAAAAGTGTATTTTGTTGTTGTTTTGAATTACGAAATTTCTTTTCATAGTCGATTCGAAAAAAGATTTCTTTTTTCTGATACTTTCAGTTTCTATCACCGTATTCAATGCAGATAATCAATTTTAGTTGTATTTCTATCATTTCTTTATAGTGTGTATTCTCAACGAATATAAATGAACTTTGATTCAACGAAAACACAAATCAATGGAAAAGTTTTAAAAAAATGAAACAAAAGTACTCACTTTGACATTTGTTAATTTGTGGATTACAATATTTGTTTTGGCTGCATTCTTCGCTGCTGATACATTCGACTCGGAAACAACCGGTGACCTTATCGGTTGGATCTCCCAAATGGCCCGGTGGACATTGGCAGAATGCTTTATGTTCGCTGCCCTGACAAATTGCATTGCGACCACATTCGGCGATGCCGCATGGTTCTGTGCATTTTCCTTCGAAACATGCCAAATTCTTGGCACAGTCTTCATTTCGTGCGCATTGATTTGGAAGTAAGCAACCAGGTTCTGTGTATGGATCGCCAACGGTTTGTTCTGGGCACACACATCTGAATGATCCTGGTGTATTTTCGCAAATAGCGCTCTTGTGACAAACCTGATCGGTGCACTCATCAATATCAGAGCATCCGAATGGTGTTCCAATGAAACCGCGACCGCATTTACATTTTCCACTTGCGCAAACCTGTGTTGGTGGGCAATCAGCTTCGCTTTGGCAACCCGATTGACATGTTCCACGTTCGTTACAAATTTCACCGGGCAAACAATTGTTATTTGTGTAGCAAACCTTCGCGCAAACATTATTATCACACCTCTCGCCGATGGCGCATGCAACTGATTCGCTGCATGGCACTTGACAGTAGTTTCCGATGCACATGTGACCGTTCGGGCATCGGCTCGTCGAAACACAAGTCGATGGAACTCGAACACATCCTTGTTCTGGCGTTGGATTTCCATCGAATCCGGCGGGGCATTCGCATTTGGCTGCATGATTTTCGATTTTGCACAAGGCATTCGGTCCACAAATGTTACTCTCGCATGAATTTTGACAGTTATTGTTGTTGCAAGACAAATTTGAAGCGCAATCGTTGTTGCTTCGGCATCCAATCGAGCAAACACCTTGTTTACATGCTTGACCCTCTGGACATTGGTTGTGACTCGAGCATTTGATCATGCATCGATTGTTCGAACAATATTCACCATCAGCGCAATCGTTCTGATTTCTGCAAGCAACTGTACACTGACCATTGCTGCAAATTCCACTGCCGCAGTCATAATCCTTATTACAAGCTAATGTATCGCGATAACAACCGTCTTTAGCATCACCGGAAACGAATCTAAATCGGCTCGGGCATGCACAAACTGCTTCACCGTTTTTGATGGTGCAAATCATATTTGGTCCACACAAACCGTGGCATTTATCGACACAGCGACCGCTGACGCATTTAGCGCTGTTTGGACAATCGGTATCGCCATGTGGACATTGACCAATTGGGAAGCATCCCGTTGAATCTGGGTAACCGGTATAACCTTGTTGGCATTTACAAATTGCTTGACCAGTTGATGATATCTCACAAATGGATGATTCTGCACAGTGTGAGCATGCATCAGCCAATTTACAGCCAACTTCTGGAATCGGATCACCACGGAAGCCAGGCGGACATTGACAGACGGCATTTTGGTTTTCGGCAATACAAATTGCATTTTCTCCACATGCTGATTCATCACAGACATTGTAGCAAGTGTGAGTCAATCGATTGCACAATTGTGTCGGTGGACAATCGATATTGTATACACATGGAACGCTCGTACAACCGGCTGTCATGTTATATGGATCTCCAGTCCAAGGACCTGTTGGGCATTGGCACTTGGCAATGTGATTGTTTGACACACAAATTGCTTGTGGACCACAGTGCACATCTTCACAGACTGATCGACATTCCATCACACCAGTTCGTTCGTTCTTTTTACATTTTTCATTTTCTGAGCATTCAGCGCTTGTTGAACATTGGTTTGCTTGTACCAATCGACATCCGCTTCGATCTCTTGGATTGCCGTGGTATCCAGGCAAACATTGACATTCACTAAAGGGGCAGAAAATATGTTTTTTTTTTTGTTAGATAAAATTTTGGTAGTAAACTGGTTTCCAAGTTCTTGAACGAAATACTTTAAAAACTAATGCTATTTCTACGAAAAAAAAGAATCTACATACCCTTGATGATTGGTAGCCACACAAACTGAATTAGCTGGACATTGGAATTTATCACAAATTGATGTACATTTCAGAATGCCAAGTGCGTCTGGTTGGCATGCAGCCACCGGATGACAGTCATTGTTTGATGCACAATCTGGGATCGATGGTTTTTCGCACATTGAACTGGCTGGATTCCAGGCATAAGTCGGCCGACAATGACAAGCTGGATTCGAATTTGCATCCAATCGGCATTCTTCATTCAAACCACACGCCACTGATGCGCATGGATTGATACATTCCTTATATCCATTTGTTCCAACAATACAAATTTGCCCTTGTGCACACTCGCCATTGCCTTCGCATGCATTTTGTCTGATTTCATCTTTAAGCTTTGTACAACCCGAGTTGAAATCATTTGGATTGCCGATGAAACCATCGCTACAGATACAAGTTGATCGATGATTGCTCGAAACACATGACGCATTTGGACCGCATGAGAATTTACTGCATGCATCGACGCAATTTCGAACGCCACGACCAAATTGGAAGCAAATTTCGGTGCTCTTACAATCCTGATCAATTTCGCACTGGCCTCGCAAATAACAACCTTTGCTCAAATCATTTCCATCCCCAATGTAACCCAATGGACAGACACATTTACCAAGCGAGCAAGCAGCTCTTGGGCCGCACGATACTCCTTCACACAAATTCAAACAACGACCACCTTCGCATCGATATCCAGGTGGGCAAGCAACGGTTTTGCTGCATACACAGTGATTTGGATCGTCGCATTCGGCATCTTCTTGGATTGGTGAACACATTTCGTATGGATTTCCGAAGAATCCACGTTTGCATGTGCAAACATAGCTGCCGGCAGTATTAATACAAATTGAGTTCGTTCCACAAAGATTCTCCAAACATTCGTCGATGTCGCGACACTCAACAAATGGATTTCCGGTAAAACCAATCGGGCAAACACAATCAACGCGTCCGTTTAGTTGGCGACATTCGGCTCCAACGCCACATTTGGTGTTGGCACATGTATTTGGACCGACTGGGCCACAAATGTCATATGGATTTCCGACAGTATTTGGATTACACACACATTCATTCGAAATAAGTCCGTAGCGGCAGTGAGCATTTTGACCACATTCCGGTTGACAGTCTGGGTTTTTGATCGCTGTTTTTTATAAGAAAAATTGATTTTGATTAGAATGTATTTTCTTTTGTCATTATTTTGTTCCGGCTACTTACGTGGCATACACAGATAATCTGGATTTCCAGCAAAGTTTGGTTCACAAATACATTTTCCAGTTGATGGTTCGCATGTAGCACCAACTCCACAAACAACATTGTCACAACGATGTTTGCAACGGCCACCAATGCACACTTGATTATTGGCACATGGATGGCTGGCTGAACACTGATCCGTTACGCAAACACCACCGGGGAATGGATTTCCTTAGTTTCAAGGGTGAAAAAAGGAGAGGTTAGTAAAAATACGTGGTGGTATCGGGCTACAAATTGTCTTTATGAAATCAATGGAAAGGATAATCAATGCAAAACGATTGTAAGTAAAAGATTGTAAGTAGAGTATTCAAGTACCAGTCAATCCAGTTGGGCATTTACATGTTGGACCATCGCGAGTTACAATACAAACAGCTCCTTGACCGCAGAAATAGTCATTACATTCTGTGGATGGAAGACATTGGAATATTAGATTTTTCTTTAATGATTTTTGATCTGAATTTTAAAAGTCGAACATTTTAACTCGAATTATTTTAAAAATTCGAGAAATGCAATATTTGAAGCACGAATACGGAGCAAAAGAAGAATGTAAAGAAATACTCACGTGAAACACATTCCCCGCTTTCGTTTTCTTCAAAACCGACGCGGCATCGACACCATGCAGCGTGATTTTCCGGTTCACAATATGCATTTTGGCCACAGAGTAAGCTCTTGCATGGGCTAATGCAAGTACCTTGCACACAAGCCAATGTATCAGCACAATCGCTGTTGGCTTGGCACCTGCTTGACAATTTACCCGAAACGCATCCTTCTTTGTACGGATCACCGGTCATTCCATTTGGACAAATGCATTTGTATCCTCCCTTTTGATTGACGCATTGTGCACCATAGGCACATGGATTGCCGTATGTTGAACATTCTAGAAGAAAAAGAAATATTTTCAATGAGTTGAATCAAACGATTGAATTTTATTGAATATTTCAAATTTCGTGATTCGACTAATTGGGAAAGAATTCTTTCTTCGAGAGAAATCTTTTTTACACCAGTTAATTTCAGTTCAATCGAAAAGGAAATTTCAACTACTTACCATTTTCATCGAAGCATCCCTGCAATGGGTCTCCTTTGAAACCGGCTTCGCACATACATTGTGGTGGATCGGTTGGTGTACACTTGGCATTGATTCCGCAAGCATACCGTTCGCATGGATTTTTACATTTGTTACCGTCGCTGGTATCCAAAAAGAATGGCGGTGGGCAAATACATTCTCCTGGTTGAACACATTTCTCATTTGTTCCACATTCTCTGTCTGAAGCGCATCGTCTTTGTGGGGCAGAGCATTGACCATGATAGGGATCTCCACCGTATCCTGGTTGGCATAAGCATTCATATGATCCAGGTCGATTAACGCATTCGGCTCCAAAGCCGCAGAAATGTCGGTTTTCAGTACATTCGTCCACATCAACGCAACTGCCATCGGATTGTGTGCGATAACCTTTCGGGCAAGCACAGTAGCTAACGCCACCAGCAATTGTGATACATTCAGCTCCCGGTGGGCATTGACTACCATCTTGACAGCCAGACAAAATACAATTTCCGCCGACGAATTTGTACGGAGCTTTGCATTGGCATTCAACACTGTTGCATTCTTCGCACAGATGGTATGGATTTCCGAAGAAATTTGGCGGGCAGAAACATTCAAAACTTCCTGGCAAATTCTTACACAACGAATTCATTCCACATACTGGTCGCACACTATTGGCACATTCATCAATATCCAGGCATCTGCCGGTGCTGTTGTCTCGTGTAAATCCTTGTCGACAAACGCACACATTCTTTCCAAGGAAAGCGTCAAACACACAGTTTTCCTCTTTGCCACATGGATGCTCTTCGTCGCAAGTCAAAACTTGAATGTTTGCTCGTGCACAGTCTCCATTGAATGGATCACCTAATAATTGAAAAAAAACCTTAGGTTGTAGTGTATGTAGCAATGTTTTTCCGAATTCAAGAACAAACAGATTTTTGAACCAATTTTAGGCAGCAATTAAACAAAGCTAGATAATAAATGGACTCATATCCTTTGTTTAGCATTTTTATTTATGGCTTTTAATTTTGCGCTCGTGGAAAGGACAAGCGCGTTGTTGACATTTGAACAGCTGAAATTTACTCATCCAAAACGTGTCACTTTTCTTCAATCAACGAACAAGCAGAAAAAGTTTGCCACAAAAATGAACCAAAATCGTCGCGCAATCGTTTCGTTTTTCCTATTTGAATTGCTAGAAAAGTATTTTCAACTTAAATATATTCTTCATTGTTCCGTACATGCACTTATTGGCCTTTATTTACTTTTGCATTGGAGACGAGTTCCGTAGTGAATCGATCATTAAAAATTTATGTGGCACATTTTATATTCACTAAGAGCCCTTGATGGCCATTGCAGGCACTTTGGCCTGGCCTTAAGGGAAAAATTGAATCGTCACGCCAATAAACAGCACCGTTTTGAAGTAGCTCATCTGAGATGCCTGTGCATTCCATCCTTTGCTCGTTCAATCGCCCGTTCGTTCGTTCGTCTTTATGAATGGCGAACTTCAGTCGAACGCTGTTCGTTCAGCATTCATCGTGAATATTCGTTCAGCATTCAGATGAAATAAGCAATCAATTCGTTCGAATTGGGATAATTCAAATTCCGCAGCGTATTTTTTTTCGTTCATTCGTTTGTTGAAAAGTCTACTTTGCACTTGTTTGGAATTGAAATGTCTTATTCAAAAGCAAAAACCCACTTCAATACCACCGAATGCGAATTGTTTGTCAGAGAAAACTTTAAAATTTAATTGAATTTTGATCTAGGTTTTTCTTTCCGCCTGTGAGCCGAACGTTTTTA